ACAAAGAAGGCGTCGTAAAGTGGGCCTTGTCCGTATATCAGGTACAAGCTGATGGAGAGACGCTGTACATTTAGTTATGGCACAGGTTTACTCATTTATTCATAAAATTGCTTATATATTGATATAAATATCTATATCGATATCTATCGATACCATGTTTAATACTTGTATCGATATTTCGTTTGGTATAGTGAGAGGATTTTTTTTATAATGAAACAAGCATTTTACCTAATTTAATGTTTTGTATGTATCGGCAAAATCGAAAAGTTAATAAACAAATTAGCCGCCACTGTTGAATTTGGACACCTTGGTTGCGTGGACTATTGATTCGACACATCCTATACCCTATATACGCCGACGCCATGTACATGTATATAGGAGCCGCATTTTACGCTTCGTGGGTATTTTCGGGCGTTCTTAGCTCGTTGCTCCTCTCGGACTATAGTGGGGATTATTCTCTACCGCTATTGGTTACTGAGATTGCGTTACCGCGTCTACCCGATAGGTAAAGGCACGAGAAGAATTCATCGTGGGTTCATCAAAGAAACCGTGAGGTTAGGATCTCGCAAGAATGGCCCGTGCTAAAATGCAACATTCCACCACGAAGTGTCTCAATGGTAATTCTAACGTGAAGGTACTAAAGTTCTTTCCTCCCCCTTTTTTATTTATTTAAAGTCATTAAATTTTACTGGAAATATTCATGTGTTATTTCAAGATCTTTGAAAAGATCGCAATTCGCAAATATTCTGCAGGCGCCGAGCAACCGCCATATCTAAATTTAGTTTATTAAATATGTTAACTATAGTTTATTTTAAAAAGTCAGATATTTAATATACTCGTCTTATTATTTACAAGGATACGCAATATTTCTCCGTGTCATCCCAATAATTCACCACATGCTCAAAATTTCCATCTCTAATGTTCCATCAGAGAAGCAATTCACTTCCGGTCCTCGTGAGATAATTCCCTTAACTGAATAATATCCGTGCGTTGAATCCTCAGGCTTTCTCACGGTAGTCCTTCGCAAGGGAGGCACGAAAGACTCGCGCGTCGAGCACGAGGGACTTGCACGTTCACAGATCAAACAAGTGTAAAGAGGCAATGAGAAAAACATTCACCGCACATTCACGCCGCTGCGCGCCCTGTCGCCCCTCATCAAATACCGTCGCGGCGTTCGACGCGCAGACGGGAGATCCTTATCTCGAATCAAAGATGCGAAACACCTCGACTGGAGAAGCGAGGAGAACTCCCTCAGGTAAGACGCGTTATTTTAAGAGATTCTGAGATTTACAACAATACGGTGATCGACCTCATGGAGCGTCGATGTCTTACTTTCGGAAGATCTAATAAAAATCGTAGGACGATTTCACAACGAACAATGGTCGGTTCGTGTATATACGTCGTGAGAAAGATCACTCTCCTTTAGAGTGAAATATGAGAGAACGAAGAAAAAACAGAATGAAACACAGAAAAGGTGATTTTTTTTAGGGTTTTGAAAATATGTGCATACACATAAAAGTAGTCAAAAGTTATGTCAGGGTTATGGAACGCCACGATTTGTGTACCACTTTGACATAAGTGGAAAAGGCTAGGGTATAGGCCGCAGGGTACAGACGACTCGGTCATAGGAGTATTACCTGAACCTTTTCAAATGCACGAAAGGTATGCGCAGTGTGAACTTTTGTTTAAACCGATCGGTTAGTTTTTACTTCGGTCATCGGCGGAATTCAAAGTTTGTTACAAAACCGGTCGTTGACGTGGCGCGATAATTCTGCGATATTTCGATGGCACGTTGACTCTGGTAATATTAAAGAGAAACGAAAAGTAGCAGAGAATAATACAATATTGTAAGAATTACAATTCTGCGCCGCTTGCGAGCATAATGAGACACGGCAGGTCTTCGTTTCATGCACCGAAGCGAGACAGACGGCAAATAAAAACCTGCTCGACCTGTCTATTACCGGAACGTATTCAAATACAATCCAATATTTCACGCGTCGTTTGTCGCATGCTAAAACTCCGGCGTGGAAAGGTGTCCTAAAAAATAAACGGTCGATAGTCCGGCGATAAGTAGGTTTTGCGTATAGGTACACCGACTGTCACAATGTACTACGCAGTCGCACATGTGCGTTACCTCGATCCCACTAAAAAACAGGTTCCAAAGGAATCTGACTGAAAGTAAGTGACTATTAACGGTGGAATAGCTTTATAAAAATTTATCATCCCCGGGCTTAATAGTCCGCTGGTGGACGAAGTATCTCGGTCGACCACGATGCCGATAATAAAATACCAATGAACGGAGTGAAAGAGGTTTCTTTCCCCCCTCCTTCGCATCATCCTCCTCCTTCTCTTACCCCCTTCGTCCACCCGCGCTCTCATGGACCTGTAGAAGCTGCATTCTGATTTTACACGCTAATCCCTCCTACGTACGTAGGTGGACTCGCGATGGTACCTGTCAAAAAATAGCAATGGGGTGCACAATACCACGAGAGATGGAGTCGGAGGGCTTCATGGCAGAAGTTAACCGCAACGCAGCAGGGCTGCGAGAGGCTAGTTCGCCGGTTTCGATGGGCCCTTGCCGTATCGCGAGAAAAATAAGTCAGTGGCGTAGTACAGTCGCCGTTTTTTCGAGAAGTTTTCTCGAAGAAAGGAAGTGGTCTCGAGACGAAAACGTGTAAATGTAGACCAGCAGTTCGTTTAGATTTCTGTCATGACATATATCCAGAGAAAAAGTTAAAAAATGTCTTGGAATATCAAATCCGAAATATACTCTCCTAAAAATATTGTTGTGTTCTAAAGCTATTTCTGTAGATTTTTACATTTGGACAGGGTCACCAATATAGAATATTTTTTAAATACGACCGCCTGCGCGGACTTATCGATTGACATGGATTTACGATGGCGACAATACCCGATTTGTACCACTTGATATTTCTGTGTTCGCCTATTTACAATCTTGTCGCTATTTCTGCCATTCTCACTCTAATGCAGCCACTAATAAATAATGTTATTCCCAAGAAGAAAAGATATTCCCTAGAAATTATACGCTTGGCAGCGTCCGAAAAGACACTCGATGATTTGAGACTCGGTGGGGTCTACGCCAGTGGTGAAGCAGGTCAGTACTGCTGTGAGGACAAAGAGATCCTTTCCCGTCCCTCATCTTCCCTCCTGCTTCAAGAACATCCCCTTTCTACCACGCCATAGCAGCCGTCATTGCACTAATGTAAGCTTGGCCGTGCCACCGTGTAACGTAAGCGCAACGGCGAGTTGCAGCTGTCGGATGTTCGCCCTTCACGTAACTAATGCTTTTCTAAATACAACTCGGAGTACCTCGAGGTACCTCGCCGAAAATGCGCAGCCGTAACAACGAAAAATACGTCTCACGTTTTAAAAGCGTTTTAAAGGCCTGTTTTAAAAACAACAATGAATATTTCTCCTAATTTTTTCTGTATTTTTCTTTCTCTGTAGTATATCTGAACTAAATCATTTAATAAATAAATTTTCTTAATTGCAGTTATATTTAATCTTTTCTTAGAAAATTTAAGTCTTTTTGTACTTTGGGGCATTATATTTTTTTAGATATGTCTAGTTTTGCATATCAATCGGAGCATTTTGTATTTTCAATCATTATCTTTTTAAATAATTTACGAATTTCGTAAATAATCGTTATTTTCTTTTTTAACGCCATAAAGCGACTAATGGATTAAAAACGGTCGGCGTGAAGTAAACGAAGAAGAAGTCGCAGAACGACAATCGAAGAGCGGGACAGGCATACCCGTTACGCTCTCGTTTTTACAAAGCGTGGGTTCATAGGAATACGCAGGAATTTACACTTGAAAGGTTCGAATTAGCGCTTTCTTTTTCGAACATGTTAAAGGTCTTGGCTCGTTAGTGCCATTGTCGCGGCTTACGTTTGCAGCAATTCTTTCACCCGGCGAATTAAGTCGATTCCATCGCGGTAGGCCGATTATTTGTTTCAGTATCATTCGTTTATAGCGCGCATCATCGTTAGTTTCATCGAAGTTTAATCGAAATGTCAACGGATAGTTTCATCATTCAGATTAAAAACAGGAGACGCAATAAGAAAAAAGAATCCCCCCTATACGACAATATATTTAGTTACGTATACTTGAAAAAAAGGCTGTAGATTTTTTTGAACACTATATTATATTATTTACTCTTATATATTATTTCATTTAATCAAACGCACAGATTAATGCGAATAATTCGTGACTACAAATACAAAGTATCTGACACAACGCGTACGTTTGCTTGTGTACAGATGGAATTCATCAAACTGAATGAGAAATTCTGTTTATTGAGCGTTATGTTAACCACAATAACTATTAAAATATTAATTAAAGAAAATTAGTAAATGCAAGAGAGAGAGAGAGAGAGAGAGAGAGAGAGAGAGAGAGAGAGAGAAAGAGAGAGAGAGCTTAATGCGGTGGGACGAATTCTTTGAAGTAAAGTCTCACCTAAAAAGTCTGAATTTGTTCTGGATCTATCGTAGATCTATGTATGAAACATTACGCGCAATTATTTATATATTTATAATGCATGACACTATCCGCCATTGCCAGGAGATTGTCAACAGATTCAAATATCTTAGATGAGACTTTGCCTAAAAAATTCTTCCCACTTCGTCACATGTCTTTACTCACAAATTTTCTCTAATTGTCTCAATAACTATCGTGGTTGTTTGCAAAATGGTATAGGATTTTTTCATTCAGTTTGATATGTTCTATTTGCACACAAGCGGACGGCTACGTTGTGTTGGACACCCTGCATAGGTGTTACGGTGCATATGTGTGTACATGTGTATAGCGTGGTTCAATACTTTTTGTTAAAAATGTGTGTGACAATCTACAAAAGTGCGAGTAAATCGAGAAGCAACTTCGGCTATTGACCGAATGTGTGCTGCGTAGTTGCAGTTAATGATCTTTGGTCATTCTGAAGCTTCAACTTGCGTTGGGCAACGTCACGATTGATCTACTTACAACGATCGCCGATCTTGGAGGTACGCACAAATTCACTAACTGCAGATCGTTGCGACCCTCATGCAGCGTGGCCCTTCCATTCGATCTTTCCTGAAAGCCCACCAAACTCTTAATTCGAGAAAAATTGATCGATACAACCGTCAAGCTGGCAATTTTAAGGCGACGTAACGTTTTATCATAGTTTTTGTTATAGTAATTTATACGTGACATATAAATTAATTAATGCATAAGTTATCCATTAAAATTTATTCATTAACTTATTCCTACTTATTATTAACTTTTAAGTAAAAAAAAAAATCAGGAGCACAAAACTGGCTGTACCGGGAATCGAACCAGGAACCTTGTAGTTGCTAAGCGAATACTCTATCAACTAAGTTATTCAGACTCCCATAGTTTGATATTTCTCTTTTTCTCTCTCTATTTTTTTTTAAATAATCTTAATTGTCTAAAGATTAATTTTCCGAGTTTAATCGTTTAAAATTTAATAATTTTCTAATTTTAAATTCTTTACTCCTTTTGAGCGGGTATAAATCAATTAACAGCATATAATTTTAACGATGTATATTTTGTCCCCAAATTCGTAACCACTTCTTAATTATTGCATACCGTTATTTTACGATACATAAAGTATACGATCGTTTTGCTTCACTCGGACCCACGATTATTCCTTAGCGAGGTCGCGAGACAGCGCGAGAAACCGGAGGCGGACAGGTTCTTTAGATACTAGTGTATCGTTAGTCGATCTGTTTAACCTTAGACAAATTCTTGTTCGGCAGGAGGAGGACAGTTATGTTTGGGGACACTAGTTAATTGGAGATCTGAAAATTATTTGCTATGAGGCGGTGGGACGAAGTGATCGTATACTTTCAATACCGAAAGGAGTCATGAATAAAGATGGCCGCAAAAACGTATCCGTTACTTTTACATGTACATAACAGTATCTGACCGAAGTGAACATCTTGTCCCGCATACTATCGTTATCAATCTTAAAGATACATGTGTAATCAATCTGTAAATATTATTGTCAAGAGAACGTGGAATGTATTTTACGAAGCATAAAGTAAATTAATTATGGAATTTATAATTTCTGACAATTAATTAATTTATTGTTGTGACAAAGTATTTTGCATTGGAAACTGATATTGTTTTTCAGAAAACTAAATATGTTGTTATTGAATGATGTTACATTTCTAAAAATAAATTGTTTATACCAACTTTTTTAATTCCTAAATCGTGCTCCGTGATTGTCTTAAGAAATTTTTATTATTATTAAAATATTAATTTTTGTTGTGAGAATGAAACGTTTATCGCATTGCACAGCATGCTTTGCATTAGAATTTGAATCAAAAGTCACGTAAAGTTGGGATAACAATCGAAAGATCGAGAGAAAAAATGGCTAAAGGAATGTTGAAAAAAGCGACTTGTTAGCGATAGTGTTGAAGGACAGATATTTGAAAACGTTCTTCTAACGGCCAGTATTAATGATCCGAATAGCTGGAATATTTTACCGTTGGTAAAAACGTGTAACTGGTTAAGTGAAAATGTGAGTCGATCTTTTGGAGATACAAGACCCTCCATGTTATCCTTGCGAGGTCTAGTCTTACAGAAAATATAATAAAAGCACCAACTCGTAGGACATAATCCTTGCTAGACTAGGTTGTCATTGTGTACGTATATTCCATACATAAGCACACACATACCGACACTACAAAGTGAATAGGGATCGGTTGATTTTTCTGGTGGTGAAAATGCGGTGTGTCTAATGCCGGAATTCCAAAATGTTACACGATTTTCATGGACCCTAGACACAAAGAGTCCATGACGATCGCGCGCGCGCGCGTAAGCTAGAGTACACATGCCGCCATTTATTTATTTGAGTCGCCTACGCGGCAAGATTGCTCAGCGTTCATTTATTTATTTACGATCGCTCGATTCCTTCTACGAGTAATGTGTGTTGAGGATGCTGCATAAGGATATCTTCTCAAACACATTTTACGGAGAGTAATTTGAGAGGTAGTTTGTTTTACAAACGAATATCTCGGCTTTCTTTTCATCTTTTCTCATTCTTAATCGTTATACAGGGTGTTTCCTGTTTAAAACTTTCATCTTAATATTTTTAAAAATATACGTTCTATGGAAAAATGTTTAATATAAAAGTTGTAGAGTTTTGAGGAGGAGGATAAAAGGTTACTATTTGTCTGTCCTGAATGGAGGCGTTTAGGTCACGCCAAAGTTAACTTGGATTTTTTAAATGGAATCCCCTACTTTTTGTTATTTTACATATTCTTGTAGCTTATCTCAAGAGCTTTCCAAAACACTATAAACAATTATGAACACCCTGTATAACAGATTTGGTTTTTCTATCGCCAGATGTAAAATGTTCAACCGGTAGAAAATAAAAGATCATGAATTTAATGTTGAGAAAAAAAAAATACATTATTTATCATATAGTGTATATAAATGAGTGTGTGCGTTTTTTTTATATCTTTCTACTTATAATTATTGTATTTATTTCTATGTTTTATATATATTTATATATTTATAAATTACAAGTAATAACCGATTAACTTCGACAATGATTTAAGTAAATATACAATTTTTTACAATACAACAGTATCCCTATTGAATTCCAGCACTAGAATTCCAGCAATTCGGGTTTCTGGAATCAAATCAAGTTTTTAATATCTGGGAATGAAACATCTTCATTCTACTCACAATAAGATATTTTTTTCAATATCCTACAGAGATTTCTTCTCAGCAAAAAATTTTTCTGGTTATAGATACATTTTTCACACAAAAAATCAGGTTTTACACGCTACATTGCCTTTTTGACCTTTCTTTTCTATAGTCTCTTTAATGATTATATATGGAATCAATGAATCACCCTAAAATATTTTCTTCTTTTACTTCTAGTTTTCACACGCGAAGTGTGAACTACGCAAATTTATATTAACAATTGGTTCTATTACGAGTACAAAAGAGAACAACGAATTCTTTTTTTAAGCAAAGGACAAAGAGTAAGGGTAAGAAAAATAGCAAATGAAAATATACCTGCTGATGGATATTGAAGAACGTTACCCTCGTCACTTATACTAGTCTTCCTCTACGTAGTAGATGAACGACGCATCCCACTAGTTTTTCCCATTCTATCCTGCTCTCCGTATATTTTCCTTTACTTTCCTGAATATATAGCGAGTTAAACATATTTGAAAGATGATGCTGCATACAACATAACTGCAAAGTCAAATCCAGTTTCGTCCCTCTCGTGCTAACCCAACCACGACGGTCCCTCGTGCACTTATGTTGCATTCCAAGCTTAGATATCTCTCCCTCTTGCTTCTCAACCATCTTACTTCACTTTACCGGACCATCGTTAGGCCAAAAAGCAACCCACGTCGGTGCTCTTGTTGCGCTTAACACGCTAATGTTCGCCGGCGAACATCCGTTTGAGAGCGCATTTTAGTAAATGGCCAGTCAGCTCGCCCGTAACGAACTTTCTCCCCACGTTATTTATTCTCATAATTGGCTTCATGATATTTATAGTTCTTCGCCGAGTGATGACTTTGCGTTGTAAATCCACTGAGATATTAAACGGCATTGGAAAGCAATATTTTCTACTGCCAATGACGCTCAATTGAAAAACTTCTTATTTCGCGTGATTAACCATTAAATTGTAAAATAGTTTGAGTTTTTATCTATTTTTTTCATATTTCCTAAATCTTTTAAAAAATTATTTTTTATATTTTCTAAATTTTTCAATTCTTTTATTTTCTATATTTTTGTATCAATTGCTTTCATATCTTTTAAATTTTGTTCCATATTTCAGAAAATTTTTTTAAGTTAAGCTAACTTATTTTGTAGACTTCTACAAAGTAGAACTCAACTTTAACTCTTACTTCAACTGTT